TATACTAGTAGAAAGTGATCAAAGTGTAATATGCTATAAATACCTAGCGCCTCCGGCCCAACAGACGTTTCTGGCTCATATAACAACCAAAATAATGGAAAATTTGCTAAGAAATTACCTGGAGAAGGGGAAGGAATGCAACAGCGTCTGGCAGTTGGACCAGCACACAGTCCAGTCGTGTAAAAACCACTGCAAGGTTCTGTGTCGTACTTACAGGTGCCTCCCTCACTGGTGCAGGAATTGTCACCTAGGAGGTTTGGGTACAATATCGATATTTATAATAATAATAATAATAATAATAATAATGGATGAATGAATGAATAAACAAAAAGATGGAGTTAATGGAAATACCAATTGTACTTTACTGTATTTTCAAATTATTTTAAAATCATTTCCTTCGGTGTATTCAGTACAACATACCAGCCCCTGGAACACAACACTTCCTGTTGGCAGCCCCAAAACACAGACCACTGACGTAACTTCCGCTACAGAATAGATTGTCCAGTTGACAGGTGGCGCCAGCTTGGCTACTAGTACACGCGATATCTGTGTCTGCGTGAAAAAAGTTACGGGTTATCATGAATCCAACCAGGGATGTTAGTTCACAAGGTGTAATATTCATTGATTCATCTGTCTATTGTCTATTGTCGGTGTGTCATATTTAGATTTTGGTACTGGTCTAATGTTAATGGTCTAATGGTCTAATTCAGTTTTATTCTTGATAGTTTTGATGCACACGTCAGATGAACATATCCACAGAGAGAGCTTTAAATTTAAATAATTTTTTGCAGTAATAAACCATCTATAAATGCCTGTCTCAGATACCTTACTGCTGAAAATCGACAAAGAAGAACCTTATTAATCAAAGTCTCTACATGGGGATGGAAAACTTAAGGTTGAGAGGACAGAAAATTTACTGTGGGGGGGGGGGTCCTTAGATAACCTTTTTCCCCAAAACAGTGCCAAAACCACCTAAAAAGATGCTTATACATCTTAAAAACAAACTGCAAAAAACCAAATTAGTCTATCTCTATTATCAGAGCTGCTACTTGGGTTTTAGTATTTTGGAGAAAAATCGCCAAAAATACTTAAACTCTGTATTTTGTAAGATATGATGGCTTTTCATATCAATGATTATGCTTACATTTTAACACAAATTTCATTGTGACTAACAATTCTGACAGACTAAATGCATATGAAAACTAAACTGAATGTTCTAACACCTAGATAATGATTCATAATAAGTTCAAAAAGACAGGAATTCAATAAGAATTCAATTCACTAAGAATTCAATGCTGTTTGGAAGCTTAAGTCAGTTAGCGTTATGGTGGGTCTTTCTTTCTTTTTTCCCAACAACTTTTTCAGGTTCATTCTAAACTGTTCTAGAGTTAACATCCTTCTCTTCCCTCCATTAATATTAAATTACTGGCTTACCGAAATTGAACGAGACTGTTAAAAATAAGAGACTCCTCCACAGGTCTCGCTGAAGTAGCTGGGGGAGGACTGCACCTGCGAAATTGATACTTGCCTGCCCGGGAACTGGAATATATATTTAGATAATGAATGAACTGAATAAACAGAATTAAGAATCAATAAACTTAAACTTAAACGAAACGTATAGTTTCATGTTCAAACGCCACCAATTAATAACAATCACTAGATTACACTAAACTAAGACGAATAAATACTTAATGAATTAAATTTATAAGGCTCATTTAATTTAACGGCGTTTAGCACCAGTTTTCAAGCCTCACCAGTAAATAAACACTTTAAACACCGTACCGGCTAACTATAGTGTTAGCGATTTTAATAACAGGTAGTTTTCAAATCACACGGGTAATTATTTTGTAAAATGTATATCTAAAGCAACGAAAGCATACAGTTTTTTTTTTTTTTTTTTTTTTTTGTAAATGCACTTCCGCTTGCCTTTTTTTACAATTGGAGAACAACACACTTCTCTCACAGGGACATGTCTCATACACATTTGACAAATTTGAAGTGTTTCCTCAATTACAAAAAATTGAATTTTTCTCGAACTGATACTGCCATATACAGTGTAATATACTGACCAGTAAAGGTACTTACGCTCGCTAGTTTGATTGCACACGCCTACGCTGGTAGCACTCCCACCCTCACATGTGTATCCCCTGGATGTGTCCACTGCTAGTCTGTCGTTGAAGCTACAGAAAAATGAGACAATCGGCTGGAAACAAATGAAAACGGTAACCATAACTTTCAAACTAATGAACTGCGAAAGTTGTAGGATTAAAGGAAGTATAATCTCATTGTTTCATTTTATAGCATTCAAATTGCATCTTTAAATACATGTACTGTTTCATTTATTCAAGTCCTTGAATCGCATTTCCTTCGTTAATTCATTAATTTCTTTTTGCCCGTTCAAATCCAACTGCGTGATCTTTCCCTCCGTATCTTCAAATAGATCATGTGACGCCAATGAAAACGTTATGTTTCCATTTTGTTATTCCCTACTGTTAATTCGAATAGGGCAAATATACTTTTTTTAATCAAAATAGGATGATTTTATAATCAAATTTGCCGTTGGACACGGATTCGCCGGAAGTGTTTTGTCTCCAGTGGGGTTTGTGGTCACTGATTCATAATTGCCACCAGAATAACAAAAAAAAAAAAAAAAAAAAAAAAAAAAAAAAAAAAAAAAAAAAAAAAAAAAAAAAAAAATTAAAATAAGTATATCAAAAAATTAATAAATAAATAAAAAATACAGAAAACATGGAGATATAGATATACACCATGATATTCCCTACTTCGTGCTTCAGGACACGCACCGTAGAGCATGTCCAAACGTTAGATTGTATGTTTATTTAATTATATGCATAAATATTCCTCCTGACGAGACGTACGTGGTATATTATTATCACCATCATTATTGTTGTTATTCTCTGTTGATACCCTGTCTATTCTGCATGGTTATGCTCAATACATTCCATGTACGCCTATATGGCACTATATTAAAAACGGAAACACTTACAGACAAGAATGTTGCCAAATCCGCAGAGAACGGTGATTGGGAACCGGTGCCTTCAAAATATATTGGATATCCCGTACTGATGCCCAAGCAATCCGTTGCTCTGGAGTTGCAGTCACCATCTGATCGACACTGGGTTCCTATAACTGAAGTACACTAATACAAATATGAACTTGCACAGAAAATTAGAAAACATTCGGCAACCACAGGTCTCAGTGAAGATGAAAGATGAAAAATTATAAATTGAAATGTTTTTTATTATTTTGAGATACCATTATAATATTTTACACACTCGAAAATGTGGGTGTTTGTCAACATCACAGTTTTTGACAACATCATAATTAAGTTTCCAAAGTTCTATATGTGTTCGCATTTAGGTTTCTTGCTTCCAGTTGACAGAACCTATATGTGTTTTCAAAATAAACATTTCTAAACATCGATGGTAAATAAACAAGAAGGTCCACTTACCCGGTCTACACACCACGTCATCAGCAGTGGTATATTCTGGTACAGTACCAGAGGGACATAGACAGCGGAAAGCCGAGGCAGTAAAGAGTAGAAATAATGGGTTGTAGTTACATAGCCCGGCACCTGCCGCACACGTCTGACTTGTATCAAATGGCGCATATGGTGGGACGGTGGTTGGTAAGGCACACTCACCAAATATTGATGAGGAAGCTGAATACATAAACAATATGGCTGACATTACACTCTGCCCACAGGATCTGTTAGTATTATGTTACAATATTGGGCTATACCATCTATTACAAACATCTAACACACTGTAACAACGACCAGGACCCCAGCACAAACGACAGGTACAGTGTAGCCCCCCCCCCAAAAAAAAAAAAAAAAAAAAACTCTTTAAATTTCCATATCAAATAATTTTGATAAAATTAAGATATTTCGAACATTCTTGCACCAAATTGTCCCATAATGATGACCATTTTATCCTTGAAATTCTGCAGAGATTGGAAACATGTACACGTTGGAGTTACGGGAAAGTTTGCCTGTTGGTTGACAGACGTGTCAACGTCTCGATCACCGTGAGGTCCGAGCGATTAATAATCAGTTTCGTGAACGGCGTGCCACTTAATTCCACCGACAAAGTCCTTTTTTACTCAGATTTTCTGTTGATCTACCTAACATTTACTCACGTCGGTCTGATGAAGGCTTACGTCCAGGTTGGCAGTAAGTTCAAGGCATGAAGAACATTTTCAACCTGTACTAAAAAATTCTCATCTATGAACCAACTGCTAAGCTAATGAATATTTATTGCAAAGAAAAATCATACTTACCCATTTTAAATAATAGTACAATTTACTTGCACAGGCAAAGTCGTTTCCTGTACCAACAATGGGAACGCCAATTCTACAGGTAACATATGCAGGGTACTGTAGGTAACAGTGGGGCAGCACATACAATACTTCATGTATACTATACAGTGCTGTCCCGTTTCTTTGATATGTATCATCAGACGTTAATTACGAACTACCCTGTCTAAAGATAAACGCACCATTACGGTGTGTCATTCGTGTTCTATCTGATACAACTAAAGGGGCGTATCACCGGGAACAAATATTATTATAATCAGGTGAGGATACACGTCGTGTCCGTCTGGCTTCTATCTGGAATAACTATACCAAGTAATCATCTCCAGTGTTAAAAGTAAAAAAAAAAAGAATGCACTGCCCGCGAGCCAGATAAAGACGAGAGCATGTCGAGCGAGCGATAACGATCAAGACATGATCAAGCACGTTTTAACGGATGAGGGGTACTATTGCCTTATTTTTCCTACATACAAAGGGGATCGTACGTTTCCCACCTATACCCCCTAATTTTGAATAAAATACGCTGAAATCATCGTGCTGATACCGCCTCGCTCAGGGTAATATCAGCCCATTCGTGTGTTTGTTAAATTAACATTTATGTAAAGTTGCTCATTTTGTGAATACTAATCCTGAGTACCATGCTAAGCAGGCATACGTGTGTACACGGAGACAGAGGGATTGGCGGGCAGATCGTTCGTTGCTGCCAAGTTTTTCAGCGACGATGATGGTAAT